AAAAAATCAAATCAGACTCTTGTTTGGTTAGCCCATTAGCCTAGCCGAACAAATGCTTTCTGGCTGCTGTCACACCTGATGAGTTAATAACTGACAGAGTTTCACTTTAAAGCCAGGAATGTTGCAGTGAGACAGAAACTATAAGCACATTCTTTCTAGTGCAAGCTTTGTGTCCTCAAACACTTTTGTCCATAAAAGAAACACAAAGTTATCCCTTTCATTTTGTTCTTGCTGTCTCCTTCCTAATCTTTAGACTCCTACTGTGGACATTTATTTCTCAAAGGTCGACATTTAACATATGGAGAAAAGAAACTGGAGCACTGCTGTTCTACTTTCATCATAAAGATTCACAAAACAGGTTTTCGTTGCACTTCCTGAAAGAGAGTTGGAAAAAAAGTATGTCAGACTAAGAAACTGTGTTGAGGACAAAACTAAAAGTTAGCTCTGCTCTTYGTCAGCAGTTTTAGTAAAACAAGGAATGCGGCCAAATAAGGCTTGTCATTCCTTGACCTAACACTTATCATCCACTACTTTTCATGCCAGAGATTTAAACTAAAATCATTGTATGATGGRAAATGAGTTGCAAACATTTTGGTCAAATCTTAAAAAAAAAAAAAAAGTGTGATTAGATCTCACATGTTAGCACTTGGAGTATGTGTTGCGGATGACTCAGCTACGACCACACCAAGTTTTAGCTCAATATTTGTAAACTTTGATAGAGTTTTAGTCGGTTTTGTGTTTGCTAAGGTTGRTTAGCCTTGATSATYGTCTTGAATCAAGTTGGCTCCAAAAGTTGATCAGTTGCAGATGGGCATCTAATTACTAATTTATAAGGCTTTCATTAAAATCCATCCAGTTTTTCACTAGATACAGTATTTTGCTWACAGACAAACTCCATCATCATTTTCCTGTCAAGGTGATGGGCAAAAACTATTTAATGGAAAATCCAACAKGAACAAATGTCAAAAATGTTTCAAATGAATGTCACTGCAGACTTTTATTCTTCCGCTGCTGTCCTTGAAGCTCACTGCAGTGTTGGAGGTAAAAAAAATAAATAAAAAAACCCTCCTCTGCTGTATTTTAGCCACCTCTGCTGGTCTTAGASTAAATGCTGCTGCTGTTTGCCTGACGTTGACCTTGACCACGTTGTGACTGTAACACAGTGTGCTCCGAACAAGCAGCAGAATCACGCGGGCGTTAGAAACGATGTAGAAGCAGCTGCTCCTGAAACCACTCTTTGTCCTTCAGCTGCTGGAAATTAAACATGTGAACTCGAAAGCTAATCTGAGCAGTGGAACACCTGCTTCRTTTACAGAAAAAATAAACTAAAATACTTCCCTATCTCTCTTTTTTTGTTCCTTTTAGTTAAGGCCCAGTTGAATTGCTGCCACTTCCTGACCCTGCTGATCCCTCGTATAGAGTTACACTTTTCACAAGCAGCACAATCAGGCTGCATCCTGTCTTATAATGTCACTGCAAGGGCACTGTGCGCCTGAGTTACTGAAGCTGTCAGTTCTTCAATGCCAATAATAGAAAACATGCATAATGACAGAATGCACTCAGAAATACTATCATTGTTTAACATAGAGTAAATAAAAAGTATATTTTCTAACAAAGTCTATGTTAAAGCAACATAATTCAAGAAATTTGTTTTCTTAACAGTGTTCTTTATAATGTTTTTTTTTTTTTTTTACCAATGGCTGCTCCTCTTCCTCAGATGTGTGGTCTGTTCAGGGCCTGGAGATGATCGTGGGGAAGATTCCCTTCCTGGAGGCGGTGAACGGCAGCACCGTCATGTTGCCCTGCTCATATGAAAGCTGTATCGGCATAGACAACCTTTACTTCAACTGGCAATTCAACGACAACGGCACCATGATAAAGGTTAAAAAAGAAAAGGGCCTGACAGATTTCCGCTCAGCTTTTTGTACCTTGTTGGATGACTGACARCTTGCTGACCCCCCCGTCAGGTGTGCGAAGCAGAGATCGCCTCGGAGGATGTGGAGCCACCGGTGAAGATATTTCGAGATCGAGTGGAGTTTGTGGGGAAGAACCATAAAAAAAACGTCTCCATCCTGCTGTGGAACATCACCTTCGAGGACGCAGGCCAGTACACCTGCTACGGGCGCAATCCCAAAGAGAAAGGCAGGAACCACAGCGCCATCTTCACCCTCTATGTGGTGGATGAGTGTGAGTGCACACAAAGTTAATAAATGTCAGTTTTAGTCCAGACTGTTTTATTTTTGCCACACAAATAATCCCATCCCTTAAAGTTGGAACTTTTTAACATTGCATTTGCTGATGACATTATTATTATTGAATCTTCCCCAGTGTTATTAATTTAGAGATATATGATTTATTCATCAGCTAAGTTGATGATTTTTTGACAGAAAACCCTTTAATCTGAGAACTCCTTAGTTTAGCTATATTCCAAATATATCCTCTGACACACCTTGTTTTTTTTGTTTTTTTTTGGTCACTACCCAGAGTTTGTGATCATAAGTGAGGGTAGGAACATGGAGAGCTTTGCCTTGGAGCTCTGCTTTMTTCTCACCACAATCAACCAAACATTTAAAAACAAAACAAATGTATTTATATTCTGTTGTAAGAGATGTGTCCAAACACCTGTGACCTGGATGACTGGAAAATCTACACCAGCGTTTTTCATTAAATTATTATTTACACTCAATTTTCTGGTCATTTGCTAGATAGCAGCATTAGCTAGCTGTAGCACTTTCAGAAAAAAAAAGTRTTTGAACGATTATGACATTTTGAGTTGTTTTAAAAAGACAGCAGTCCGCTTTGGTCCTCAACCAGATCAGACTTGCTTTTAGCTCACCATCTCAGTCAGAATGAAACTCTCTTTCCCAAAAYTGAAGTTGTTCAAACATCTGTTCACGACAGGTAAGATATTAACTGTGTATTTATTTTAACATTTTTGGTTTCTCTAACTTGTTATAACRTAATGAAGCTTCCCACAGGCTTTATATGTTTGAGTTTTCTCCTCTGGTTCTGTGCTGACATTTGCAGTGAGGGTGGTTGACAAAACGCTGACCATCATCATAGCCTCGACTGTGGGCGGAGCCATTGCGTTTCTGATAGGCTTCATGCTGCTCAAGAACTTCACTCTCTTTGTTCTTGCTAAACTTGAGGAGAAAAAGTGAGTTTTTGGCAACCATTTTGATACTTCTAATAACAAGYGCTTAGTTCTTACATCAGATGACACATCTGGCTGTTGGCAGCATTTTAGTTCAGAACATTTCCTGATGTTTTTCTTGTTAAACCTGTCATTGTGACGTGTGGCTTTGAGCTGCTGTGCTGTGACATCACTTCCTTTTTCTTCCCCCCTCTGCAGTAAGGAGTGCCTTGTAACGTCATCAGGAATCGACAACACAGAAAACGGCCTCTCAGGATCCAAAGCCGCTTCCAAACCAACACCAAAAAAGAAATGAGCGAGACCATATGCAAAACGATTTGAACTCTTAGATTTATATGAAATTTGCAAAATTTGTACATTGTTCACAATTCATCCTCTTTAAGGTAAAAAGCTCCAGCTGCAATATTCAACTTGAAAAACACAGTATTGCACACAACTAAATGTGCTCCGAGCTGTAACAGCAAATGACACACAGATGAACATAAATGAATCATGAGAGCAAACATAACTGTTCACGATGGTCACATCATCTAAACACACTTACATTATGTACATTTTAAATATGAATGCATTTATAAAACATGGAACTAAAATTTATTTTAAACGTGTACCAAAATGCCATCACTTAGATTGTTGGAAGGGTAGTTTTATGGAAACTTTATGAATAAGTTGTGAGAGAAATATTGCAGTAACTCTGAACACAGTGATATTAGCAGTTAGTTCAGACAGGGTCCGACTCAGACGTTATCATGTGAGTTTAGTTCTACGGTGATCGAGAGGAGCAAACATGCAACAAATGGCCAAAACTCACAAACACAGAAAACAAAAGCAAGTGAGAAAATAAAACAGAAGTGCACCAGGCCACTTGGGAGACTCGACCATCAAGTCATATGGAACCAGTCCCCCTGTATAGATATTAAGCTCTTTCTGAAGATGCTCCATGCCATCACTGATGTGTGTTCTGACCACCTTGGTTTGTTCAGAAAACACACAGAAGCAGAGAGGGGGACTGAAAACGTCCGCTCTGAGCGAGGTAGTCACAGAAACATTTCTGTCGATGTCTGAAAAGGTGGGCCGTTGTAGCGTCTCCAACTGATTAGAATAAAGTGATAAAGTGCTGACTGATGTCTTCAGGGACCATCCATCTGCAGGATTTTTTTTAGGTCAAAACACCACAGACATTCYTTCAGTGCTTTTTTTCCCCCTTCAAATCCCACAAGGTCATTGATCTGTGCGCAGAGGAGGAAAAAAAATCCAAATATTATTGGTACAGAGACAAGCAGCAAAAATAAAACCGTGATGAGAGTCCGATTATTTCTGAAACTTAAACCCCTAAAAWGATGTACTTCGATCTKTGCTACGTCATTAATTAATTCKGTGACTCCTGCTGCTCTCATCAGCAGCTTGACAGAAACACGTCAGAGCAGTGGAGTTTTGAAAGAGCTAATTATCACTGGGAATTCCTACTTGATAAATGTCTATACAGGGGGTCTGGTCCCATAYGACTTGGTGGTGGAGTCCCCCTAGTGTTCTGGTTCTTTCTGTTTTTTTCTTACTTGTGGTTGTTTTCAACGGTTGTGCGTTTTGTCATCATTTCCTGCACATTTGCACCTGCTGGCCACTGTACTAGTCAGTAGTAAACAATTTCAGCAAAATGARCATTTTAAAAGCACCATCTACARCAGGTAAGATRATAAATTCACTTTATCTTTCTATAGAACCGAAGAAGACCTGAGCCGTTGCTTTAATAACCGATAATAACAAAGGATGAACTTTTATTTAAAGAAATACAGCCGGTTAGCACAGAGAAATTAAATGAAGGACAAGTGTGAAACTACATTAAAAACAACTGTTTGAATTTAGGACACAGAAGGAAACAGACCCAACACATATTTTCTTTTTTAAATGGGTTTACATTGAAAATATATCGATAACGCAGCTCTTACAAATGTGTCTATTTCCAAAATGCAACATTTAGAAAATAATGATGTCATAGTCCCACCTCTAATCTAACCTACGACCTGAGGGCATCGTCTTCCTATGCACCCAGCGTGTGTGAGCTTTRTGCTCATGCGCCTTGTTTCCAGTTTGTTATGTGTTTTCATGGCAGTATTACAGCGCCGCCTACAGGCCTGGCATGGTTATTAACAGCCATTTGGGTCGTTTTTAATGTTTCCATGTGGATGAAGACATTTAAAAGGATATATTTAGAAATGACAAATATAGGAAAACTATGCTTCCATGTGGAAAAGATCCAAAGCTCAGTTTATAACCAAGCATTTCCCAAATTTCCCACAGCTGATGGGATCCTTTAGTTCACGTGCAAAAGTTATTAGCCAGTATGCACAGGTAAAATAGCCAGTTGTATGTCATTTAGCACAGTTGGTCCAAATTTACTGTTTTCATCAAATAACTTATTTGTATACATAAACCAATGAAAATGCAATGTAATTAAAACAAGTCTAAACACACATTTTTAAACAAAAGACAGCTTTCTTATTCCATCCAAAAGCATGAGTACAAACAAAAGGTTAAAGTAGTTCCATCAAAATGACACTATTGCCACCGTATTGTAGAGTTCAGCCCAGTTCTTCTTCTTGTACCTCATTTTTGCTTGATATAAACACTAGTGCCTGCTAATGCATCCAAACTCATCTGTCGGTAAGGACAGCTGAACACTGCAAAACAGGTTTTTAAACTCAGCAAACCCGAAACAATGCAATAAGCTTTGGGACTGGAATGATGGACAATCCCATCAAACAGTCTCCCAGTCCTTCAAAAATAAAAAATAAGAAGAAAAATATTCAGATTGCTGCTTTTAAAACAAATAATCAATGTATTATAAGCATGTGCAACACAAGCCAGATTTTAGACAAGATGCTTGAATGCGAACATACTTTTCAGGTTTTAATGTACTGACTTGCAGTTTCATATCTTAAATTAGCTGTAAATCTCAGTTTAAATAAAGCTCATTCCATTACGCTAACACTGGCTAAGACTCTAGAGTAACTACAATCAGACACTATCTTTTATTAAGTAAAAGCATCATCMTATAAATCTTTTTCTTTCTCGCTCTTTGTAGTGAGTTTTCAGTTTGTAACCTAAGTCCTTACCGATGCTCTGCACTAAAAAAAACATTGTCAGTTACACATTAACTGAATGTTTGTGAGTTTAAAGAATAGTTAGTTTTTCATAAAGTGAGGTTGTTTGGGGTACACATGAGTAGTCAGTGTCTTACCTGCAGTAGACAACAATCAACGTGAGCTCAGTTTGGAGAATCAAGACGAGATATTTTGCCATCAGAATAATGAACTCAGACYGACAAGCAAAAACATGATCCCCCTTTCACCATCAGAGGTGTGCATTTTGATGAATAAAAGCCTATTTTATTGTGTTTGAGCTGTAGTCAGCCTGGTTCTAAAACAACAACTATCAAAGGTAAAATTGTGGTTCTGGAAGTCTTTATAAWCTGTATGAGATAAAAAGACATAACAACTTCTGGAAGACATTTATGATCAGGGTGTAGTGAGATAATAGTTATAGTGCATTGATGAAAATAAAATGTGATAATTTGATTTTATCAAAATATAATCAATAAATACCTAATGGTTCAAATGAATAAATTATTTGAAATCTAATCCTATAGCAGAACTATTCAACTGGAGGTCCACGGGCCACATCCAACACRCAGGTGACTTCAGTCCAGCCCACCAATTCGTTCTTAAAGAATAAAAAATTAATAACGTTTTTTTACATCATTTACATAATATAAAATATATCTCAAATATTCAGTTTATGAATTGATGCAGCTAAATAAACAATTTAAAGTGTATTACTTTAGTTGTTTACATAATGGGATGTTTCCTCCACCATGATCGCCACAGGTGTCCGACCCCTGAGCTATTGGCAATGATAAACTGTGCCCCCCTGGACAATCAGTTGAACATCTCTGTCCTTAAGGATGATTTGAAGCCCTTTTCTGAGCAGAAAAAAAAAAACTAAATTTTGCTGCTTTACCTGCAATCTAGCAAAAATACTATCAACAACAGCTGGGMAATTCCGATATCCAAATATGGTTTGGAGGTTTCCTGTTTCAAATACTGTCAAGAAATCCTTATTAGAATAKAATTAAGTCTTAACTTTGCTCTCTTACATTGCACTGCAGGTAAGATACTGACTATACGACTGTACTTGAATGAAACCAGACTGCACACCTGGCTGAGTAGTCAGTTGCTCACTGACTGTGTCAAACAGGGATGATCCCTGCTGAATGTCACATCCGAGGATAAATGTTTCTACAGACGCAGAGAAACGGTTTAACACAGTTTTTTATCTGCATGTTGGCTTTAAAAGAAATACCTCAACATTGGAACTGGAAGTAGGTCTGGAGTAAATATGCATCATTTCCTCAGCAGCTGGGAAAGAAATGTACTGTAAACAAAAACATGAATGTCAGGTGGTTGTTAAAACTTATGCTACTGTATGTTCAAAAAATCATGTGCCTCAATCTTCAATTACTAGCTTGAAGCAATATGAAGAGGTGTGCTTATTCATATTTTTATATAGAAAATGAACTCATCTGCTGTGAGTTTGTGTTGCACATAAAGCTTAAGGAAGACGTGCACCTTTCGGTACCTCAAAAGCTCAAAGAATATTGATGCAGTTACTACTGTTTTTTCTTCTTTCTTGCGTGCTATAAGTAGCCAAAGATGTAAAAAAAATAAAAATAAAAAATAACAAGAGGGTTTATGCAGAACTGATTTGTTTTAGGGGAGTAATCTTAGTGGATGTGTGATGTTGGCTTATAAAACCCACTTAGAATTGTTTTTTATTTTATTTTAGTAGAGATAAGGGCTATGTGTTTTCTGTGAGCTATCTGTWGCCAGATCATTCTGAGTAAGTTTGAGTCTAAAAGCAAACAATGCAGATTTTTGAGAAAGTGCAAGAAATTGTATGATCAATATGTGTTTGTCTTATTTGTCTTTGCCATGTTTTCTTGTTTTTTACAGCAAAAACCCACTTTTGACAAAGAAATGTGCTGTGAAGAAGTGATGTCACTTTGGACTGAGTTATGACTTTGAAAACATGGAGAAATAGCTGTATTTATTGAATTGCAACAAATAAAATGTCCTTTTTGCATATGCAATAATATTTTTTCAAGTTGCTGTTGATTTAAAAAAAAGAGAAAAGAAGAAGTTGTGATTTATTTGAATAACCATGTCACAAATTTAGTTTAAAGGGAAAACAATGGCCTTTATAAGCAGCTCGGTGCAAATCACAGCAAAACTAAATCCTCTGTCAGTTTCCTCACATGGCGCCGCAGAGTTACTGTGACAGCTCCGGCAGCAGTTACCAAGGATCTGGGAGGAGAGGCGATGGCATGATGTCAGCTGAATGTGTGTGGGGGGTAAATCCAGGGCACTGATTTGATTGGATCCCCTGTACTTGATCCGGCCCTGAAGAGCCCATAGACAGCCGCTGCTCTCTGCACACAAACATCCAGTCATGCTCTGACATTAAATAATGTTCTGATTCAGCCTCTCCTCCGTGCATATCAACTCTGAATCTGCTTTCTGTGCAAATTGATTGACTAATAAACGTTTGGAGTTTTATCTGTTTTGTGACTCTGTATCATGGGGCACAGTGGCCGTGGTCTCCTGAAAGCATTTGCGAATTTTGAACAGAACAATGCTGTTTTTATTAAACTGATGTAGTGAAGTGGCTCACTGTGCAGAGCAACAACTTTCCAAAGGGTTTACCAGGCATTAGCCCATGCCTCTAAGGTTTAAAGGACCCCAAAGCTGTATTATTTTAGAAGCATAAACGCAAAGTATTTTAATAATATATTTAAGGAATTGGTGTTTTAACTGATTTCCAATGAAATGCGAGCCCACATTCAAAAAAAATTAGTTAATTTGTTAAT